GTACTATATCAAAGATTAAGCTAATAAAAACCAACTGGCATTGTCACCAAAGTTCAAAAAAAAAAAAAAAAAAAAAAAATGAAAGTTTTAAACCAACAGTTACTAATAAAAAATATAAAAGAGATAACAGAAAACTATTATAGATTTTTAAAAAAGAACACTTTATTAAATATAATCTTTTAAAGAGTAAAATTATTTGTTTTATAATTCTATAATTATTAATATTAATTAGCTAACACTCATATTTGTAATTTATCAGAGGATTATATTTAATACATACATTGTAAGAATAAATTAAAGCATAATAATAATACTAAAACTAGTTTATTAATTTATTATTTAAAAAATACTAAATATAAGAAATATCTAAAGATTAATACATCACAACAAATACTACAATTATCTTTGTCAGATCTTGTTCCTTACAAATTTTCTCAATTAAAAAATTACTAAGATATGACAAAAATAATTATCAAACATGCATATTTATTCTATATAGTTAAGAATAAGAGATTTACAGCATTTGTTAATAACTTGCAACCACAATATAAAGTGGTAGGTATAAAGACTATATATAAAAATAGCATAACTATTTTTAATAAACTTAAAGCAAAAGTCTATATTATATGATTATTCAAGAATTATCTAGCAATCTAAACTATATAACTGATCTGTAAACATCAAATTAAAATGTTAAATATATTACTATTATATGTTATTTTATTAACAAGAATTAGGTATTTCAAAAATATGTTTTGGTATTTAAAAAAGTTCCTATACACTATTTGTAAAATTAACATCTGGACCATTCTTTGAATTAAATACAATATTTCTTATAACTATAATTTAAACTTACAAATCTAGGTAAGTCTTGACCACTCTAGTAGGTTTAGATTACAGATAAATATGTCTGAGCTTTTATTCTTGAATATAGTTTTTCTTTTATTTGTACTTAGAGTAGCTATATAGTTAGCAGCTTAATGGTTCAGTCCTAACTGCAAGTATTAGTTTTAGTCATAGCATTTATATAAAATTACTTTTTGTACATAGCAGTTTCATGTAGCTACTAACTTTTAAACTACTAATAAAAGATATGAGCAAGACCTTACCTTAATACCAAAAAAAAAAAATTTTTAAATAATTATAAAATAATTTATTTATATAAATTTTAATTATATATAAATATAAAACAAAAATACAATAATCTTTAGGATTAATAGCATAGTAGTTATGCTCTGAGTTCACAAATTATAAAATTGCTAATTCGAATTCTAGTGATAACAATTGTAGAGATGTATTTCTAAAATAAGAAACTGTAACATTGTGAAACCAGAAACCTGGAATGTCTGAAGGACAGACTTATTTTCAAAAATGGCAAGTAACTTGCAGTTAAGAAGCCATATAGTGACAAATATGAGTTAGAACCTGATTTGAAATAACTGAAGTTATGAGACATAATGTGAGACTAAAATTTGATGATAAGAGATACTACATGAACTCATGCTGATAGCCAGTTCTTAATAGAGCCTGACAAAGCCTTCTAATACTAACAAAAATTGGTACAATAGTTGTTTTTAGAAAGTTTAAAAGTACAGACTAGAGAAGATCAAGGTTCAGTATCTGGAAGTATATTGAGAACATTAGTTTGAAAAATATAATAAATGCACTTAAAAATCTTGACAAAACTAGTTAAAGAAAAAAAAAATTACAATAATAATGCATCATTATAAGATTCTATATAATTAACTAATTATATTAAAGATTAGTAATCATATAGATGATTATTGTTTATGTTTTTACTTTTTCTCTTCTAGATGTTTTTTGTTGTTAGTATCATTACTAGTGTTATTAGGTAATTCTTTATCATTGTTAATGTTATCACTAATGTTATTAGTTAGTTTTTGTTTGTTATTGATATTATTATTAGTTTATTACTAGTGTTATTAGTTGGTTCTTTGGTATATATTTAGTTATTAACATCTTTAGTATATTTTTCTTTTGTTCTATTTATTCTTTGTACTAACTTTCATACTTTTTCTTTTTCAGATACTTTTTGTTATTGGTGTTATTGCTGATATTATTAGTTAATTTTTTGTTGTTACTGGTGTTATTAGTTAGTTTTTATTAGTTGTTAATGTTGTCACTAGTGCTGTTAGTTACTTCTTTGATATGTATTTAGTTATTGACATCTTTAGTAAGCTTTTCTTTTGTTCTATTTGTTCTTTGTACTAACTTTTATACTTTTTTCTTTTAAGTGCTTTTTGTTGTTGGTATTATTGCTAATGTTATTAGTTAATTTTTTGTTATTGTTGATATCATTGCTAATATTATTAGTCAGTTCTTTTCATTATTGATATTGTCACTAGTGTTATTAGTCAGTTCTTGTCATTATTGGTGTTATTGCTGATGTTATTAGTTAGTTCTTTAATACATATTTAGTTATTAATGTCTTTAGTAGGTTTTTTCTTTGTTCTATTTGTTCTTTGTACTACTTTTGTACTTTTTCTCTTTTAGATACTTTTTATTATTAGTGTCATTAGTCAGTTTTTGTTATTATTAGTGTTATTGCTGATGTTGTTAGTTTGTTCTTTGGTACATATTTAGTCATTAATATCTTTAGTAGGCTTTTTCTTTATTCTATTTGTTCTTTGTATAACTTTTTTTCTTCTAGATGCTTTTTGTCATTAGTATTATTATTTGTATTATTAATGGTGTTATTAGTTAGTTCTTTGGTATATATTTGTTGATATCTTTAGTTTAGTAAATTTTTTTTATTTTAGTTGTTCTTAGTATTAACTTTCATATTTTTTTTTTTTTTAGATATTTTCTGTCATTGATGTCATTACTAATGTTGTTGGTTAGTTCTTTGATATTTATTTAGTTGTTGACATTTTTAGTAGGTTTTTCTTTTGTTTTATTTGTTTTTAGTCACTTTTTCTTTTTTAAATGCATTTCATCATTAATGTTGTTGTTAATATCATTAGTTCTTTAGTGTATATTTAGTCATTAACATCTTTAGTTTAGTAGGATGAGTTTTAATTTATTATTCAATTAAAGTGAATAAGTGGGTAGGTTTTTTTGTATATAGATATTTGTTATATAATAATGTAAATCTGTTATGTTGTAGTTTAATATTTGTTTATATAAAAAATTTTTTTTTAATAAATAAAATTTTTTATTATATAAATTATTTTTTAATAAAAAAATATATTTATAGCTATTTATAATCATTACTAGGAGATATTAATATTCTACTCTAAATTAAGCAATAAAATTTTAATAAATTTTATGTGATAATATAAATAATTTTATAACAAAATTAATATATAATTTTATATAATAAATTATAATAAATTCATCAATAATAAATATCAATATGTTATAACATGATATGATTAAAATTTAAAACAACTAGCTATTTCATAACTCTACCCCTAATTTTGAGATAAAAAAATATTTGCACATGTTCAAATTTATTAATTGTATCATATGTAATTTTATACTATGTAGTGAAAATATACAATATAGCTAAAAAGAGAAATATGCTAGCCATTGTATCTATAAGAGGAAAGTTTGTATGTACAAACAAATTTTAATGGTATGTATATTCACACATATATAACAACATAAAAATTTCATATGCTACTTATCTCAAAAATTACTATATATCTACTTATATATTTATAAGAACTACTATATATATATACCAATTTTCTGATTTGTAAATTAACTAAACCTATATAAATATAAGAAAAGCTATATTGATAAATATATGATAATTCAAAGCTCTTCAATGATTATAAAATTTTTTTTAAAAAAAAGATCCTATACCTACCTAATGCTAACCTAAAAAAAACATTAATAATGTTTATTCTTACTCTAATTCTTAAACATAATTTTTAGTACAATCAGAAGTTAGATTCAAATCAAATCTTATATTTAGATCCTAGTTGAACTTAAATATAAAATTTAATTCAGATACAACTTCTAAACACAAAATTAAATTATATCAAATATACAACTAAATCATTTTAACTAATATTGCATTCATAACTAATAATATAGCATTTGCAAATTCTATACAAATATAAACCTTATTATATCATATTTCTTGATATAAGAAGCTGTATAAATCTAGATATAAATAACAAAAGATACAAAATTTATAATCACAAAGATATATTAAATTTTAAATTGTAAATAAAAACTTAAAAGCTTCTCTTATTGCTTCATCTTTTGTTAATTAATATACTATTTTCTTAGTACAATTTCAAGAATCATGATACCATAATTTATATATAGCATACTGATGCTTATTTTTCTTTTTTAAACTTAATGCAAACATATTGTCTAATAATTTGAATCAATATTCTTGCTATTATAATTTTTAGTTGCTAGTAAATATCTTTTGTTTGCAGAACAACTTTTACCTCTATGCTAATTTAGTTTTAAAATACTAAAACTATTATTGTTTTAATTCAACTCTTGTTCAAATATATTTAATATATTTTGTTTTGTACTAAAACTTGCTCATCAATGAATTGTTGTAAAATATCCTCTAAATCAATATTGAAATTATTTATAAGTGCTATATTTAGAGCTTTTTTACAGAGTTCAAGACTATGACTATATGAAACCTTTTTTGATTCTAATTTTACAGCATTTCTGATATCAATATCTTGTTCATAAATTTTTTCTAATGCTTGAAACATACTAGTTGAAATTGGTTCATTCTTATTTTGTACTACCCAAACTAATGATCCTTAAATTTCATCAAATGTTACAAGACTTTTCTCAGAATACCAATGTAAAAGAATCAACTTCATATTAAAAAGCCTTTTTTTGAATGAATCATAACAGTAAAAAAATGTTGACAAATGAATCCAGCATATATTAAATATAAATATATACAATAGTATGTACTACTTCAAGTAAAAAAATAAATTATGAATGATTTGTTATACTTTGAATATGTTTAACTTCTCAAACTTCATTTATACCAATTCCACAACAATCCTTTAAGGTCATGCCTAATAAAATTTGTGGTTTTTTATAGTCATCTTCTATAAATCCTATATTATTACTATTCAACTTTTAAAAAAAATACAGTACAGTTCTTACTTATTGTTCATTTAAATAACAGACAATAAATGTAGCTGAAATTATTTTGACTTTATTCGAACTTAGTTCAAATAAAGCTATAATTATTTAATACAAAATAATTTTAGCCACATGTATAAGACAGATAATAAGAAAAAAACTTTCCTGATTTATAGTAATATTAAGCCTATTAGCATATAATAAAGCTCTGTATATAAGACTTTCTAACATCTGTTTATGCTGCAAAGCTAATAAATTAGGTGTAAGATACTTTTTATACATTTCATCAATATCCTTAAAAATCATATTAGAAACATGAAAGAAGCCTATTATAGAATTCATATTTTAGAGCTCTTGTAACCTTGCATATTTAGCTTTATCTTTAAGTCATAATTCAATTTTTTTTTAAAGCTAACATAAAGAGTTTCTAGAGTTAGCTTCTAATTTTATTATATAATTTATATATTCAACATATTGTGTTAAATAAGTGTTTGCTAAAAAATTTTATTTTGTAAAAGCATATGCCTAACATTCTTTTATCAGATACAATACTTGATCAAAATACTCTTAAATTTCTAAATACTTGTTCATTAGATCTGCACAACAACTGTTAAAGTCAGATATTACAAGTGAATTCTAAAGTATATAGAAATCAGAAATAAACTCCTTCTACTTGCTATGAAGCTTTTTTTTGACTTTCTTAACCAGATTTTGTCAAATATGAAATGCATAATGCTGAACAACAGTACCAGAATACTTATTAAAGATAGCCACTTGCATTGCTGGATTTGCATCTGTAAATATTGTTGTTGGTTGAAATTACTAATAGCTATCATAGTTTGTTCCAAAATCTACTCATAAGTAAGTACTGTTTTATTACAAACAACAGCTGTTGCTGCAATTTAGCTTCATTAATTTGAGTCGATTACAATAAATATATTTAGAGGCATTATATATTTGTTTGTTTTGTATATATTGTCATTAATAATAACATCATAAAACCTGACTCACAAACTTTTTTAATTAGGTGATATCTAAAATATTTTGGAAAGTTTATTATCAATGTCTTCAAAATCAACTTTAAAATACTAATACAGATTTTTTTGCTATAACTTTACTAGAGATTCATATAAGACTAAAGCATTATTTTTAGTTTGGTTATCAGTTTTAAACTTACTTATCATATTATAAAGATCTCTGTTATAAATTTCTTAATCTAGAAACTTATTTTGTAATATTTATTTTAAAACTGTCACCTCCAAATTACATTCTTGAACATAGAATCTGATCTCTTCTCTTATATATGTAGATATTTTTTATAAGAAGGATAAAAGCTAAAGCAAATTATTGTTTTTTAATGCATGATTGTGCATTTTAATAAACTTATTAACAAATACTAGATTTGACTATTTTTTATATAAGGCATTTAATACAAAATCACACTCTATATATGCTGAATTTCTCTTCTTATTAGTTGTAGGATTTAACTTCTTTTTAGGTAAATATTTATCTCTATATCAACACTTATACATTTTTCTAGTACAAACATTGTTCTTCTTTTCAACTTGAACTATCTTTGTTTCAAAATTCATTTTAGTAGAATAATGTTTTAAGCATTGCTTAAGCACCTCAAAAGAAGTGAAGATCTGCTCAGCATTTATCTCTTTTAAAAAACTGTCTTTAGGCTTATTTTCTGAACCACCACCTTCATATTCTTTAGGCTCATCTTCTAAATTACTATTTTTAACATTTTCAATTGCAGGCAATAGATTAAACTCATTTTCAAACCCATTACAGTAAAATATATTATCATTTTTAGCATTTTTAATCACAGATAAAGTACTATACTTGTTGGCATATTCATCTTTGTCTTTATTAGCATATTCAGTTATGGAAAAAGCATCATTAATATATTTATTAGAAGATGAAGTGAAATAGATATTATTGTTATCATTTTCAGAGAGATAAGAAATTCTGTTATTCATATGCTACACATTGAAGTTTTCAGGTTTCAAATATCTAAAAAAAGAATAAATAAAAATCTGTAATAAGCATCAAAAAATTTTTTATTATAAGAAGTTTAAAAATTAAAAAAAATATATAAAACATGCTAACCTAAAAAAATATGACAGGCAAAATTCAAGATGTAAGTTCTGAAATATGTAAAAAAAAGTTGTAAGTTTTACAAAAAAGAGTAACAAAAGAAAACTGTACACAATACTAAAAAAAAGAAATAGAATATATTAGTAACAAAGCATGAAACATCTGTTAAAGCTAACACAGATGAATACACAAAAAGCTTAAAAGCCAAGAAATTATAAATATAAAAGCTTAATTATTAAAAGTATATGCCTACTTTTTAAAGTTAACTATGAATAAGTGAAAAAGCAAAAAGTTGACAAAAAAATATATGTAATATTAAAAAAGAAACAAGATATATCAATAACAAAGCACAAAATGTTTATTAAGCTAACACATTCACAAATATGTCAAACATATATGCTCACATTTTTTTAATATTATTTATTTTGTATGTTAACTATACACAAGTGAATGTAAAAAAAATTTGTTTATTTTATGATCAAGTACATATTTATTTATTTGTTTTAAAGTATGATTATTCTTTGTGTCTATCAAATCTAACTTGCTTTTACAATTTTTTCCTATTATTAACATAACTCTAATTGATGTTTTTGTTATATATGCAGATGTTGTATAATCATGTATGCTTATGTAATAGAAAAATAAGTATATTATGTAAGAAGGATATTAATAACTTCTAGTAAAAAGAAGATTTATACTATATTTATTATTGTAATATTAGAGATTTTTTTTTTAAAAAAAAATTTATCAAAGTTTAGTAAACAATTTCAATGCAGTTTCTGTATAACATATGTTTTAAAATTTTCACTAAACTTTGATTGAAGATATCTCAACAACAATTAATTAAATTTGATGAAAATTTTTTATTTAAGTTCTAAAGTTTTGTAAAATTTGAATAAAAAAAATTTATTGAATTTGATTAATTGGTTGCCAAGATATCTTTGATCAAAGTTTAGTAAACAATTTTGATACAGTTTTTGTATAATATATGTTTTAAAATTTTACCAAATTTGATCAAAGATATTTCAGCAACTAATCAATCAAATTTGATGAATTTTTTTTTATCAAACTTGATTAATTAGTTGTCAAGATATCTTTGATCAAAGTTTGGTAAACAATTTTGATACTGTTTCTGTATGAATTATATGCTTAATTTTGATTAGTTAATTATGAAATTACTATAATAATAGGTCATTATAAAATAATATCCTAAATATAATATTATTTTTGTAAAATAAGTATTTATATTATATAGAAAATTTTAATTTTTATAAGTTAATTTAGTTTAAACATTAGCATATTTCTAATTGTTTTTAAATTAATAACTTAAAAAAAAATTTTTCAATATCTATTTAATTAAAATTAATTTAAAATATTTTTATTAATATATTATAATTATTGTATAATTTATATATATAATTTTTAAAAATATAAATTTACTTTCTTCTTCATTTAAACCAACAAATATATAAATAATTATGGATTCTATACTGTATTTCACGTTCAGCACAGTCTTCAATTACATCTTCTACAAACTCAACTCATAATTCTTCTTCTAGTTTACTATTACCTCCTATCTTAATACCACAAATTATTACTAAAATTGATCTTTGGACTATCCAATGGATTAAATATTATATCTCTCTCTCATATATCATTACTAACATCCAAATCTAGATGAGTCTTTATTCTTCATATGTAATTTAAAAGCAAGCTTTTCTTTGTAAAAACTTCAATTGAATTTCAATAAAGTTAAAGGCATGGCCTTACTGTTAATATTAAAAAAAAAAAAAAAAAAATTCTTACAGATGAACTTCCTGTTCTTTATACTCTATATAAACGTAGCTTTTCATTTTCTTTTTCCTGTTATCAATGCAACCAAACCAGCTCACTACTTTATTGAACTATCTGCTCATCAACTCAAACAATTTATCACTTAATTTCTAATTCTCTCAATAGTATTTTAAATACAACTAATCTTGATATGCCTACCAATCTTGTCTCTGATTTATATACTAAAATTCTTATACTTAATAGTTTCAAATTGTATAACTTTCTACATATACCTTTACTTATTTCTATCCTATTTGGTCTAGTTTTCATTGATCTTATTTCTACTATCCACAATTCTTCTATTTCTTATCATACTGCTACTACTCTTTCTATTAAACTTCTTCTTTACTTAAACCAACAAATTTATAAACAAATATGAATTCTATACTGTATCTCACATTCTGCACAGTCTCAAACTACACTTTCTACTCAATCAACTCATAGTCACTCTTCTAACCTACCTCTATCTTCTATTTTAATATCACAAATTATTACTAAAATTGATCTTTGGACTATCTAATGAATTAAATACTATACCCCTCTCTCTTATATTATTACTTAAACCCAAATCTAGATGAGCCTTGGCCACTCTTATAGGTTTAGGTCACAGATTATATGTCTAAGTCTTTATTCTTCATATGTAATTTAAAAGCAAGCTTTTCTTTGTAAAAACTTCAATTGAATTTCAATAAAGTTAAAGGCATAGCCTCACCATTAATATTTAAAAAAAAAAAAAATTTAGAAAATATATATTCTATAAGAAGTTCTGTTTGAAAATTTCCAATAAAGAAGTAATATAATTTTTAATAATATTATTTATAAAGATCTTGATTTAGAAAAGAAAATCTGAAGCAAATAACTTATATAATTAAAAAATCTTAAATAAAAAGAGTTTATTAACTTAGTTATCAATTAATTCAGACATAAAGTCATATCATATAGAGTTTATTAAATTAATAGTATAGAAGTATTTACAAGAGCAGATGAAATACTAATAAGGTTGTAAAAAGTAGTACTAAGATTGTATAAACTTTACAAAAATATAGCAGTTTAATAATTAATACAAACTATAAATATTATTTTAGTTATAACAAGTTTAGGTTAATTATAAATAGAAATATGAAAGGTTTTATAAGGTTTATCTTAAAAATAAATTAGTCTTAAGGTTAAGATTAGAATCTGAACATATTTAATAAAGTTAATATAGATTATAGATTCAGAGAATTTAAATAAAATATTTAAATAAAGATGTTAGATATGGCAACTAGTAAAAAACCTTTAAGTAAATTTTTTAAATAAGTAATATAAAAAAGTTACATATATAACTAGTTGTGTATTTTTTTTATAATAATTTTTAAAAAACTATATTATTCAAAAAATATTAATAAAGTTAAAAAACCAAAGTAATTATCTTAAACTAAAAAAAAACAATAAATAGTATATAAAAATATTTAATTTTTTTTTTTTTTTTTTTTTTGGAGTTAAGGTGAGGTCATGCCTCAGGTCTGTTTATTCGAACATATTGTTACAG